CTGCAGTTTGCCCTCAATTAATTTGAGGTTAAGGAGGAGACAGTCTGCCGCTGCGGTGCGTTTGTGCTTAATGTCTTTGAACTCCTAACGGCCCGTCCACACACAGGCATGAAAAAAATCTTTCAAAGCTTCGCCCATTCACTTGAATGGGGTGACGTAGAAGATTTTTTTATCTTCGCCGAACTGCATTGTGGGGAGCGGAGCATGGCTTTGCAAGCATCGTGAGCATCAAAAGTTGAGCAATGTTCAACTTTTGATTCTCCCGATGCTTTCGAAGCTGGCATCAGCCAATCAAATCCCGTTTATGCAAATCCCGCCAGTACAAGCGCTAGCCAATCAAACCGCGTGTAAGCTGGGAGAGCCAGACCGCAGTTCATTTCCTCATATTCCAAACGAGAAATTACGGTAGCAAATCACCCGGTTCTTTACGACCAGAACTATTTACCGGGATACAAACCGGAGGAACCAGGCATGGAGGGAGGTGGCAGAGACAGTGGGTGAAACTGGTAGGTTTTCGCCTGTTTGGAGAGTTTATATCCAGTTTACTTCGTTTTAACATTCCTATTGCTTTGTATGTCGGAGGCGGGAGATTTATGTGATTTGTTGTTGGTCGCAAAAAATCGCCAAGCTTCAGACACGCCCAGCATCAAGATTTTTTTCATGCCTGTATGTGGACGGGCCGTAAGAGACTTTCATAATTACAAAATATTTTTTTTCCATTTTTAGGAAAATACCATGCCCTAAAAGCTGTGCATATGGTTATTAAACATGCAAAAAACAAACTACAAAATGTTGTTCCTAGATTGGTGTGCTGTACAACCTCAGTCCAGGAAGTAGATGGAAGATCTTTTTTGCATTTTCATTATTTTTGTGTGACTCACGTTGTATTTGGTGCAAAGTTCTCTGACTTTGGTCAGGTAGCCCTTGTCTGGCACCACCACACCAGCCTCCCCCTGGATGGGCTCCACCATGAACGCAGCAACATTTGGATCCTGAAGAGCTTTCTGGAGTAAAAAAAAACAAAACTAGTCAGACATTTCTTTCTGTTACCATAGGTAACACTTTCAATAAATACGAGCCGCTTTAGTCAATCATTTGGGTTTCTATGTTAACATGGAAAAGCAAAAGCTTCTTAGATAACATATGTGTAGAAATATGCAACTGCAAAAGGTGATTGGACCCCTTGGTTTACATAGTGAAGGATTCATGTCTGCTTGTTCTGAGGAAGTTAATGAATTAAACATTGTTTTTTACCTTAAAAGTGGACCGCCAAATTTCCACATCAAAGTCTGTTTGCAGGTCTTTGGGAGTGCTACAGAATATATAAAAAAAAAAATGCATGCATGTTTTTTATGAAGCCTTTGTGTGACTCCAGAGGCTTAAAAATGCCCTCATTGCTTGGGGCGGATGACTAGGGTTAGGGTGTGCAGATGTGACATTCCTTCCTGTTGGATCCACCCAGCAGAAACATGAACACTGAAAATAAGCATAAGGAAACTTTGCTGTCTCTAACGTCAGTGTTTCTGTATGATTCCAGTAATAAAGTGAACCACTAATCTTGCAGGTGAACTTTTCTTGTAGTTAGTTAGGTACGTTGTTTAAAGAGAGTCCAGAATCTGGTGAGCCTGGTTTGCTGTGGCTGAAACCTCACCATTTAATTTAAGCATTTTACAAGGCACTTGACAGCTGTGTTTGACACTTTTTCACAAATAAGCTGCTTGTGAGAGCCTGAAACTCTCACAGGTCATTCCACCGAAGTGACACTGTGTCTAACAATGATATTCAAACAGAAATTAAAGAGACTGTGCGATATGTTTGTATCTTGTTGGTCGAACGCACTTATTGTAAGTCGCTTTGGATAAAAGCGTCAGCTAAATGCAATGTAATGTAGATTGCATCAAAACCGATACCTCCAGTTCTGGGATGTTGTTGTAAGGGATCATTTCAAAGCCTGGCATGAAGGGACCGAAGCCTTCATAACTGCTGGGGTCTGTAGAGCTGGAGATGGCCGCCAGGGTGCGGCCCCAGAAGTTTCCATCTAACAAACACAGAGTAAATGAGATGGAATATTCATCATGCTGCTCTTAGTTTACATAATGTATGACATGTGGTACCTTATCCTGTCTTTGTTGTGAGCATCGGATTAAGGTTGAGTTGGTAATGTATTGTGGTATTATCCTAAATGTAAAGGATCACTGTAAAAATGTTTGTATTTGTATAACATTTAACTTGGTATCTAAATGTACAATGTGATTTAGAGTGTTATCGCGAGGTTGTCAAAAGGTTGACATTTACTTCTGACAAATATTCTCAGTTTTAGAAGTATTGGACTCCATAACTGTTCCTATAACTAGTCTATTGAGACATATGGGTTACTTACCGGCGAAAATTATTTTGGCCTGGTTTTTGGGAACCCCCTTCACATTGTAAGCCCACTTGCGGGCAAGCTTGCAGGCCGTCTCACCACCTTCAACCCCTAAATGTAACAAAATCAAATTAATGTCAACACTTATACTTTAATAACCCCTTAAGGTGTTTCATATCCTTAGGCGCTTCCTGACAGTACCTGTATTCATGGGTAACACTTTGTCATAGCCAAACAAGCCTGTGACGTACTCCTCGTAGGCTCCCAGCACATTGTTGTAGAAGGCTCTGGAAGTCAGAGTGAGTTTGGAGGCCTGAGCATTGAGCGCAGCTATGATCTTTGGGTGGCAGTGGCCCTGGTTCACTGCACTGTAAGCACTCAGGAAGTCATAATACCGGTTGCCATCCACATCCCACACATAGATGCCTGGAGTAAAGAAGATCAGGTTGATGATTTATAAGTGAGGTTAAGCATGTTGAGACAGATCACCACAGCCTACGGGCAACACAAATGCTGTGCTTTTCTATTAACCATATTTTAATTTAGTTGTCATACGACGCTCTTGACTCACCCTTCCCCCTCTCTAAGGCCACAGGCAAGGGGTGGTAGTTGTGCGCTCCATACTTGTCCTCTCGTGTGTAGATTTCCTCGGAAGTTAGCTGGCGGTCAAATTTGAGTTTGGACGCGGCAGTGGAGGCAGGACGTGTGCCAGAGTGGACACTTCGACTCAGAACGGGGGCGACACGGCTCAGGTTGCGGCTGAGGTGGAGAATCATTCCCTTTGTGGTTGTATGCTGCAAAGTCTATAATAAAAAGCAATTACAAAAAAAAGAAAAAACAATTTAGATTGCATCAGTGCTGAATTTATGATAACAAATAGAGTTGCTCTGTTTGAAGCAGTACTAGATAATTGATAAACATTTAGTTGATTAATTGGAAACTATGGTAATAATAGCTTACTTATGGGTTTTAGTGGAAGCAAAGATGAAGCTCTAAAAAAGCGAATAAAAAAACAACACCTGTATAACCAGCCTTTTAAATATACGTGTTAATCCCATCATTGGCAGTGATGCTCTTACCCTGAATTAAACAGCACAAAACAAAGAAGTGCCTCTAAAAAAACACACACACCGTTGCTTCAAAAACATGGCTTGGCAGATCTGCTGATCAACAAATCTCTTTCATCGCAACACAATAGGGGATGAACATACTTTTGATGAATGTGGGTTGACAAAAGATTAAACTAAAGCAGCACGGCAACTCAACTTGGATGTTCCTGACTTTTCTATTTGGTCTGGTCGCTATCATAGTTTATGAAACTTCCATTCGTGGTTATCTGTTCCCTTGCTTCTGATCATTTATAGAATGCTACTTTCCAAATGTTTAAAAATGTACCAATCAGAATATGGTCTTCACAATGTGTTGGCACTGAGTGCTTGTGAGATTATCACAAGCACATCTTTCACTAATTATTTTTGGCATTTAAGTTAGATGGGAACATACTGTAATAGGCAAGTTCAATTCCCTGAAGTCAAACCCACTTTTCCAACTGTTACATCATGCAGTGACATAAGTTGCAACACTGACAAGAAAGGAGTTGAAACATAGTCAATGGCTAACAGTGAGGATGACTTGGCTCTGGATGGTCAATAACCTTGAATCGTGAATAAATAAGCAGAGCAAACAGACAGCACCTGGCCTGTGCCACAAGGACACTTTGTACACTGTACAGACCCCCCCTCTGCTCTTCAGACATGATTGGTTCCTGGGCTGCTGCCTCTTCAACACACCCACACACATTAATGTTACGTAAAAGAGCTAAATAAAGACCACGAGTATGAGTTTCTATTAACTGATACCCTTTAAGCAGCTCCCAGAAACCAGCACTGCCCAATGTACTATTATATAATATGTTGACATGCAGAATAATCTGAAATTCAACGTGACACCCAACGGCTTTGTGGATAACGAATGTTTCTCTGTTTAAGATAAAAGCTAACCAGACACAGGTGCTTCACGTTCGTTATTTAGAAACCGAGTAGCTAGCTAACTTTAGCCTTCAATTTCCTGATGCCAGGAATGAAATACCAAGAAAGGTTAGCAGAGAGGAGACATACATGGAAGTTAAGTTACACGGTACCAGAAAGAAGTCAAGCGAAGATAAAACACTCTTGAATCGCGAGTGATGCCTCTGTTGTCCGGTGGATGGAGCAGATGGTTGGTTCCGGTGCGGAATATGATGTGCCTCTGCCTGGCTCTCTGGTTGCTGGCTGGAGAACTGGTAACGCTTCGTGCGTCAGAGGACCCGCCCACTATGTTGCAACTTTCCCAACGATTGCATCGATCAATCAAAACTACCCCCCTCCCGAAACATTTGCAACAATAACAATCACACTCATCACCAATTAAACCAGTGACACTGTATCGCCCAGTAATTTAAAAATAAATTAAAAGCCGCGGTATCAATTATAATAATTTGTTTTTAAGCTAATTTGACTGCAGCATATTTTAGGGACTCACTGTGTCTGTAATTATCATAAATACGGATACATTAATATTAATTGTTACGATATGAGTTCACATTAGTTCATGTCAGCCTTCCTCGCTTCTCGCGCATGCGCCTTTAAGACTTTCATTCTGCAATGGCTGACACGGACTGGCCAGGCTGTGGGAAGAGTTTGAAAGGTGTCATTTTGGACATGTGTGGTGTGTTGTATGACAGTGGGGAGGGCGGGGGGGTTGCCATTCCTGGATCAATTGAAGCAGTGAAAAAGTAAGTGACCAGGTAGTGAGTTGTTAGAGATGTTAGCTTCTTGCATCTTGAGAATACCCAAAGAGCAAAGTGCGTACTCGCTGCTTGATACTAACGTATGGATACTGACACTTCCTTGCAAGAATGTGGCTTTGTGTGCATGCATTAGAAAACCCTGGATACATATTTAAACAAACAGAGGTGTCTCCTTCTCAGTGTTACTTTGTTGGCTCTGACTGCGTGTGCTCCATCATCATCATTACGACCTTTTGACTTTCTTTAAAGGCTCAAGGCATCGGACCTGCAGCTGCGCTTCTGCACCAATGAGACCCAGCTCAACAGAGAGGCGTTTGTGGACAAGCTCAAAAGTCTGGGCTTTGACATCTCTGTGTCTGAAGTCTTCTCTCCTGCTCCTGCAGCCGTAGCTGTCCTCAAGGAGAGGGGCTTTCGGCCTCACCTGCTGGTATATGATGGTAATGCTTTAAATTGTTCAAGACTTGTTGCATTTTAACCCCCTGTTCAATCCTGCCCTACATGGACAGAAATTAAACTTTTTTTAATCAGCACAAGTCCATTGAACAATAAGCCTTTTGTTATCGCCCATACATCGAAAGAAAAGACCAAAACAACCCCAACTCTTCGAACCCCGTGCACACATATAGTTAAATAAAATCTAAAAATCTAAAAATCAGAAATAGTTCAAGTACTTTTAGCAGAGCATGACAGTGTATGTTGGATAAGCTCAATAAAATAGATTTTTTTATCTTCACTTATATTAAACAACATGTATTGTTGTGACTTATTAATGTGCAAAGTTCTTACACAACAATGGAAATCTATGGCACAGAATAATAATATTTTGGCTATTCAGATAATACTTCTTGGTTTTGGTTTTCCAATTAGATGTGTTGCCTAGAATAAAATGTAAAATGTCAGCGGACGTATCCTCACCCCCTTTGAATGACCCAACCCTAAATAGTATTTATGTTTACTCCTCTTCAGGACTTCTCCCAGAGTTTGACAGTGTTGATAAGACTAACCCAAACTGTGTGGTGATTGGAGACGCAGCTGAAAAGTTTACCTACCAGAACTTGAACGAGGCATTCAGGGTCCTTATAGGCCTGGAGAAGCCAGTGTTGTTCTCCTTGGGTGGAGGGTAAGATAATATAAAATAGTCATTGCTATATTACCTATATTTCAACATGAAATAAAAAATGTCAAAATACTTTTGATGTTACGCTCTTCCTAGGAGGTACTACAAGGAAGGAGATGGTTTAGCACTAGATGTCGGAGCGTATATGAAGGCTCTGGAGGTACAGTAGGTGCATCATTTGTTTTAATTTATTCATTAAGAAGAGAAGTTTGGCACGTGTAAACAATGACTTGTTGTTGTTAACTTTTTGTTCCTTTTAGTATGCCTGTGATTTAAAGGCGGAAGTAGTTGGAAAGCCTTCACCAACATTTTTCCAGAGTGTTCTCAATGACATGGGGCTTCAACCGCATGAGGTACGTAACAAAAATGTGATTGAACACATCTTTTAAAACCTCAATCTGATAGTTAGCATGATTTATTTAGCCACCAGCAGCTTGAACACTGGTACTCATACTGGAATTACAGAACAAAGCCAGTGCCTGTTTGGTTGAGCACTCACTTTTTCCTCAGCAGGTGTCTGAACATGTGTTTTAATGTCTGGCACTGTGTGGCACTTATCAGTATCACAAGTATAAAGTATGTGCTGCAGTCTCTCTAAACATATCTATGTTTGGCCCTGGCAGTTACAGTAGCACTCTTTGCTAATCTCAGTTTAAGCCTCACCCTTTTCTCTGGGTTTCTTGTCTTTCACTGCTACATCTGCTGCTCTGTTCAAAGCCTTCTGTTGTTCACACTGGCTTTCATGCAGAGATGGTGGAGCACGTTTTTTCCTAAAATACAAATTCCTTGTTTGTTGAGCACCCACCTTAAACATTTTTATAAACTGAACCGTATCTCATTACAGAAGAAAGGACCAAACTTTTCGAGAAGTTCTATTCCTCTCACATTTCAATCTTTTCTTTTCTTGTTAACTTTCACAATTTATTTCAGAATGATCTTTTTACTAATAGGCAGTGGTGCGAACTCACGCTTTTGTGACAACAAGCACCAAGTAGTGGATACGATTACTGAGAGGTTTATTTACAGAAACACAAAGAGATTGAAGCACATGCTGAACATCTGACAAGTACAGATTACCTTATTACCGACTCTTATTTAAATCATTCTAAACTCAGCATCCGCACAAAAGCAGCTAACATTTTTTTTTTTTTTCTTACAGTACTCTCCCTTCTCTCTTGCAGGCACTGATGATCGGGGACGATCTGGTGAACGATGTGGGTGGAGCACAAAACTGTGGAATGAAAGGCCTACAAGTCAGAACTGGCAAATACAGGTGGGTGATGTTCTGAACACACAAATGCTCAAACAACTCCTTTGTGGTTATAAAAAGCATCACCTAAAATCATACTGCATATAATTGTTCCCCATATTTTATATATATTTCTAAGCTAGTTTGACCATATTGTAAACAGAATAGCAATACATTCAAGTGATAACCAAATCAAATCAAATCAGGTTTTATTTATATAGCACATTTTTAAAGCGATTTTTGGTCGAGCCAAAGTGCTGTACATATAATAATGACCTTACAGTAAGGACACTATACAGTAAATACAACAGCACAATTTGTGCAGAAAAACCAGGAGAGGGCGCCCTCACACCAGCATAGTGCATCCCAGTTTCCTCCACAAAGGCTTCCTGTGAGTGAACCACCTCATTCTTCAGTCGCCCAGAATTGTTTATTTGATTGAGACTCCTCCAAAAATAGCTTTTTTTTCCCCCACATCTTGAATGTTACTCCCAACAAGTTCATAGTCACCGAAGGATTTATGGTTCCCAATCTGGAGATTACTGGGGCCCTTTCTTATAGTGTAACTACAGAAACATATGGTTGATTATTTTAGAAGCTATATGGGGGGACTGAGAGTAGGAGTAATGGAACGTCACATTATATAATATATATGTTTTACATTGTAATGTATGTTATGTAAGTCATGCAGGAACTGGTGTTTTAATGGTGTTTATGTAGGTTACACTACCTAGGCTTGAGGTGTTATATGTGTGCCTAGGAAATATTTATAGTGGTTTTTAATGTATTTATTTTTTAACTCAATATTGTAAAGCAGTAATGTAAAAAGTATTTAGCTACTTAACTTTAATAAAAGTATCAATACATCAGTTGGAAAAATGTCTTCTTTCTTCTAAAAATTTACAGAGATTGTAAAACATTTCAAATTATTAGCATTAAAATGTTATACGATATGTTAATCCTCCTTAATGCTACTAGTACTTACTACTAAAGTGCTTTGTAATTTTAGGAACAATACAATTGATAGCATCATATAACACAATTAGACTTCAAAACTGTTCACTAGGGAACAGAAATGTTTCAAAGAGAACAGAATAGAATAAATAAATAAAAGCAGGTTCTTGATTATGTTGCTATTTTGTTTGGCTTAAAACCACTGATTACTCTGAAGAGCACCATGCTGGATGACCTGCTCCACTGCTGCGTTCGGGCACGCAGGTCTCGGGTCATGTGACCAGAGAATGCCGAGTAATCTGCCTGAGCATCAGTCAGCTCTAATCCTGTACTAAAAGCACAGTCAGTTTTTTTTGTGTGTATACTATCGGGCCAATTTGAGAGGGTGTGGGGTGTGTTTCCCTTTCATGTGCCTTTGTATATTTTGCTGGGATATATGTGCAGGATTGTGTAACCTACATACATCTATGTCAGTGTGTGGGTCTTTCAGTCACGACAAGTATACTTAATATTTTCTAACGCAGATTCTCAGCAAACTAGGCAACAAACATGAGGTTTATGTGACTTTGAAATCTTCTCCCAGCAGCTTGGATCAGCTCCAGTGTTCATGCACTCTTAAATAATATCTGATATACTAAACCTAATGCAGGATAAACCACATTCAATTACATCAATACACATTCAGGTTTTCTTTCATGTTTGGAGGAGAGGGCTTTCTCTTGCTGAGGAACACATGCGGAATCTGTATTGTGTTACATGACGTGTTGTGTTTCAGCTGTGGCGGCGGAGATTTATGGACTGATTGGTGAATGGAGTTAGTGTGGTGAAGCACGTGCATACACACCCATATAGAAAGTTACAACTATGAAGTTAACAGTTCAGTCAAATGAGACTGGTGTTTATGAAGCCCAAAGTTCTATTTCCAGGACTGCTCAAAGGTGTTGAAGTTATATCATCAGTTATCACTTCTTGTCAATGTTCTTCAGTGTGTGAGTGAGCATTAACAGAGGACACAATCCAGCCCATAACAGGAACTAAAATGTATGCATTCAATTGACTTTATGGCTCCGAAGTGAACTGTAATTTATTATATTGACACAGACGCCTTGTAATGTCCTAGATCCTTCACCAGACGTATTATACCGTACTGTATACATTCCCAGAGAACAAGAGGAACAACAGTGACAGTAACAGTGTTTCCGTGCGACTGTGATTGAGAGGCAGACGTGAGATTTAACGTTATTTAGCCAAGCAGGCCCAGTGAACCCAGGCTTGCTGGGAGCAGCTATAAACCCTCAGTCAGATTTGTGAAAACACAGCTGTTTCCAAGTCAACCAGATGCTGCGCAGGCCTCCAGTTCCCATCAAGCTCGGGGAAAAAAGGCTTCTTCAAATACCCCAGGCAATACAGGAAGGGAAAAAGATACAAATCACAGACAAATCTAATCATATCAGCTTATTTTGAAAGCCCTTGACTTGACATACTGTTAGGACTGCATACATTCTGTCAGATGCTTAAACCTCTTTAGAACTTTTACACTGGCTGCTTTCTTACTCTCTTATTTAAATGTGTAATTTGAGTTTCTTCCTCTAGTGAGATGATACATTTTGTGTGTTCGTCTTTCTATTGTGTGTATTCATTTTGTTACAAGGAACTTAAAACACTAATTACTACCACAACTATAAATAATAATCGTATCTCTTATACAGTAGGACACAGTTTTATATAAATGCAGGTTTTCCTAGGGTCTCACATGCAACTGTTTTACTTCATATGATGCAGAGAACATATTTCTGCTTGTTATAATCTTTTGATGGCTCCTGCAGATTAAGTTCAAGAGCAAGGGGGCAACTGAACCGATATTCTAGTGCCCGCCAGTAATGGCTGTTGAGAGACTACAGGCGTAATATAGGGGTAATTGTAATAGGGGAGTGTTCTGCTAGCAGTCAACTTTCCCTTGTTCTTAAATAATGAGCCGAAGTTAGCACTCTTCCCTCAGGGGAGCCAGGGAACCCTTTGCTCTTTAATGTAGAACAGGTTTTCAAAGAGGGGCCTCCTCCAAAAAAGATGGCTGGAAATGGGGAGTATGGCGATCTGACTGCTGATGTTGATCAGCTGCATGGGAACAGTCTGCCAACACTGCGCTGCACCAAGCCTTTCAGCTCTGTAGTTATGTGTTGAATGGTAGTCACATCGTTAAATCTGCAAATCTAATCTCACAACTAATACCTGATTGTTTCCATTCCACAGAGTATCTAAAATGTCTCATAGGGAAAATCAGCACCAATCTGCTTTGTTTTGTTTGTGTAATCTTCAAACAGATATTTCATGATTTATATCAGGGGTCGGCAACAGGCGGAACGCGGTCCGGATCCGGACCCAGACGCCGACCTATACGGACCCGGACCTATAATCAATACATTAGTAGGGGATTTTTGGGTGAGTTGTGTAATTCGTGGTGAACCGCAGAGTTTTCGTTTTTGGGGGGGGAGGGAGTCAGCCCAGATTTACAAACTCCTGGCAGGACAAGCTCGAGCTCAATTCTTGCATTGAATTTAAAAAAAGTGAGTGAGGGACTGGAATATAAGAGGGAAAGAAAGAGAAACTTTAAAACTGTTCAATTGTTATGATGTGTAAAGACTGATATTGTTCTATAATCGGCTGAAACTGTTAAGTCATGATGTGAAACGGTTAACAAAGAAAAAGGGAAACTCAATCTGCTGCTACACTTTATTTTTGTATCTAAAATTAAGCACTTTAAGATGCACATATTTTTAAAAGCTATTTTATTTATTTTCTCTATTTTATTTGTAAATGCAGCCCGAGAGGAACATTACACATATCCACAGTATTTAAGTAATTTTAATTGACAATAAATATTGTTGTTTTTGAATTGTACTTTCTTTCTTTGATTGGCAGTCAGTTGTTGATTACATGCAGACGTTGATAAAGATATAGGTCACTTCAATATATATCACACTAATTCATAAAGCAAGTTAGACATTTTGATGTTCCGGACCTTTGCATGGGGAAATTTTCTCTAACTGGACCTCGTTGAATTTGAGTTGAATACCCCTGATTTATATGCATCAAGCTCAAATGTTAAAAGGGCCCTATCATGCTTATTTTAAGGTTCCATAAATGTATTTTGTTCCTCTATTGTGAAATGCTTTAATGTTGAAGAGTGCTTTATTTTTCTCATACTGCCTGTGCTGCAGCGCCTCTTTTCACCCTCGGTCTAAAACCAGAGCACAGTCTGCTCTGATTGGTTAGCTGGCTGCCTCACTTGTGATTGGTTAACCGCTTAGAGATGCCTATCGCATCTATCACTATCAGAGTATCCTATCACATACAATATGTGGGAGCGCTAGCCAATAGAAAGGCAAGTGTTACGTAGTGATGTCACTACAAAGGACTACAATCCAGGCAATTTTGGGATTTAAGCCTCTGTAAACCATTCTCATGCACAGAAACCTATATAGCACACTACAGGAAAGGGAAAACCCCAAAAAGCATTATAGGGCCCGTTCTAAGGAAAATCTCTTAATGCATACAATCATTTTGGATTATGTTATTATTTTATTGAAAAAGTGCAAAATGTGGTGTGAAAGCAGTGTTTATTGGTTTTTCTGGCCACTTGGGGGCAATATACAGTGACATATCACCCTTTGCATTTAATGTAATGTGTCAAATGTTAGCAAACTGTTGCCTAACACATCTGTGCTTCTTCTTCTTAATGGTGTTAAGAAACTGTTATGACACTAAAAGAGCAGTCAGATGATGAGTATGATGTCCTTTCCTCTGTCATCTCCTGCGGTCTGTGGCTTCCACTGGTCCTGTGTTTTGTTTCTGTTCTCTTATCTTCAAGGAACTGCATCGGCACAAAGGCTTTGAAGCTTCATAAAAGCAGGTTCACATCATGCTGTTCCATCATGCTCTATTTGTAGACCAGTTGAATTGCTTCTGCTAGCCGACACAATTAATTTCTGAGCCTTTTGGTCTTGGCATGCTGTCTGTCTCTTCGTGATAATCAAAGAAGTAGGATTCCAGGCTTTTGATTTAAACGTACACTCTCAGTATTGGCATTTGTTATTCTACCGGGAAGAAAACAGCGGAGTGATGTGTCAGATACTAACACAGTATTGATAGGTATTTTGAATGAGGGCCAGTGAGTTAGAGGAAACCCTTACTGGATTCCCGCTGGAGTC